GACATGGTTTAGTGGTGGGCTTGGCAGTGCAAGGTTCATGGCTGGACTCTATGATCTTTGTCTTTTCCAGCCTAAATGATTCTATGATCTGTGGCTGTCAGCTTGTCCTTGATGCTGTCAGTATAAGGGCCCAGACCAGATGTGTCTCAAGATCATTTTCAGTCTATGCGCCAATGAAAGTCCTCTGTTCTCAAGGTGAATGTAGTAGTGATTCAGCACTAGGAAAGGAGGGAAAATGATGGCATTAGAAAAATCTTTTCACCAAAGTGTTCTGGAGCTTCCAGAGAAGGAAAGAAAATTATGAGGGGGGAAAAAAATATTAGCTGTGGGCAGAAAGAGGTTTTAGAAGGATGCCCACTGCTTAACGCTAGGGGAAGGCTGCAGCACCTGGCTTCTGAGGGCCTGTGCTCAGTGCACACACCAGCTCCAGGTCCTCCTTTCACCAGTCTGTCTTTCTGCAGGAGGCATATGGAGTCGTATGAGTTGCCTTTCTGCACTGCTGGGCCCTGGGCCAGTGGGGTACGAGTGCAGAAGAATGGCACAGGACTCTGGGAGGTGTGGAAGAGACAACTCCAGCAGTTTAACAGAGTCAGCCCTGTAACAGCAGCAGCTATAGCAGAAGCATATCCATCCCCAAGCCTGCTGTTAAAGGTAAGTCCCCAGACCCATTGGTGTCCTGTTAAAAGCCTGGAGGATGCAGGCAGGGAAGGGTGCCACATGCTTCCTCACTTAAAAGTTGATGCAGCAAACAAGCCCAGAGTGTGAAATTGGCTCTCCAGAAAGGCAAGGCTTGTCTCCAGATGGGTGTTTGACTTGAACCATAGCTTTGTTTCAGCAGTACCTACTGACCCCTCCTGTGAGCCCTTCCAGGCTTCTCCCTGCCTTGGTTTCACCTCACAGGACCCTCTCAAAGCATCTTTGCATTTTTACTTTGTGTTACACTGGGCTGCCTACCCCAGCCAGTGCAGATGAGGGTCTGTTGGATCCCACTGTCCTTGTCCAACATGGTCTGTCCATCAACTTTGTATGTTTCTGTTTGAAATGGGTGATGCCTCTGGTGGCTGCTGTTACAATCTGACAGCTCTACATCACCCTCAAGTAGAAAATGTGTGTCACCCCTACAGGTTGGGACAGATTTCCACAGGACACCTGAGCTCTCTTACTGCTTGCTGTCACCAGTGTCATGCCCCACACTTCCCTTGCTTTTCCATTGTCTGATCCTTCAGGGAGATGATTTAAATTCTCCTTCCCCCTACTCCCCTTAGCCTTCTGCTGTGTCCTGAGCTAGACTGGCTCAGTGAGGTGTTGGGGGAGCAGGATTAGACTAGGATGCTGTCAGACCCTTCTGACAGTAGCTTAGCCAATTTATGAAAATACATTTTTATCAGCAAGTGCTTGTTTTTTTGTGAGCATTAATCACATAAATTTTGCAGTAGATCAGGAGCTGTGACAAAACTTTTTTTTAAAAAGCCTCATGTAGTAAAATACTCTCTGCTCCTTTTTCTTCCCCTGGAGCTTTGATCTCTGTCCCTAGCTTAGCTGCTTCAGAAGTGGCTTTCCAGCTCTCTTTGTATGCTGGAGGGGCAACACACAGCTCTGAGTGTGTGCGAGGTCTGTTTGCAAGTGATAGCTCTTGATTCTTCTGAGCTTTATCCCTCGATTCTGGTTTGTTTGGAGGAAGACTCATTCATGGATCCTCACTGTAACGATGGGATTGAGCCTTGCAGGGGAGATTGGAGTCTTCTCTTAGAGCATCTGTGCTAACTGCTTCCTTCTGTTGTGTGCTCAAAGGCCTATGAAGAATGCAGCACAGAAGATGAAAAACGGCTCTTGCTGAGTGACATCCCAGTGAAATCTGACATTGGTGGGAAAGACCGCTGTGTCGGGCCAGACTTATCCCGCCGCATCTACCTCTTCATGGTATCCACTGACCCTGACCTTGTCCTGGACCTGAGCACATAAGAGGGACCATGGGCCATGCTGCTCAGCATCCTTTTTTTATCTGCCAAGACTCAGCAGTAGCTGAGCTGGTGCTGGCACAGCAGTGCTTCTGGGAGCCGGGCCAGGGGAAACAGCTGAGTCTGTTGCAGAACATGAGACTTGCACATCAATAAATGTCTTGTTACAGGTGCTTTCCTTGGCCTTTTGGCTCTCCTTTCCTCTTTTAGCCTCTCCAGCTTTCTATCCCTCTGACTGGAAAGCTGGCTGTATCCTAAGAGAGCTAAGGAATGGCTGGAAGGGGGGCTGGATACAAAAGCACTAGTGAACTGTCCCTGAGCAGCAGGCTATCAGCTCCTCCACTGAGATGGCTGCTTGGCAAGTCTGTCCTGCACTGCCTTTCAGGTGAGTTGTTGAACAAACCATTTATTTTCTGCAGTGTGTCCTGACTGTTAGCATCCTGCTCTCCAGTGCCTCTTCAGTGAGACTAGACCTGTTACTGTAGGTCCCGCTTGTGGCTTCCTCAGGCAGGTTGGTCCTGCCGGAGTTACTTTGGAAAACATTTGCCAACTGTCAAAACCAGAGAGGAGCTGCATCCTATAGTAACACAGAGCTCAGGGCAGGGTTGGCTCAGTTTGTTGGCTGAATTCCCAACACAAGGAAATGCCAGATAAGCTCCAGAAAACCTCATGCAAAATGGTGGCTTAGGATGGAATTCTCTTTTCCCAGAGTGAATGCTGTGGTTTTTTACTCAGAAATAGCTGCAGCCAGGACAGCAAGGGTCAGAGACCTCCCCCCAGTGGCTGAGGTTTTAGTATTGCTAACTGGGGCCTTTCACAATGACACAGAAACCCCTGAACTTTCTCCTGCAGCTCACTGGCTCAAAGCAACACCAACTGGTGCTGCAGAAGTGGGAGGGTACCCTCTGAACAAAGTTCCTCCTTGCCAGGGATTCTTCAGCTTCCATCTGCTAATGCTTGAATTAGTTCCTGGGGAAAAGCAGTCCAGCAAGGCTGGTTTTTTCTGGCTGCAGCACTGATACAGATGGATTGATGGAGACCGTGTCCTCCTTCATTAAAAAAGGCTTCAAAGCCTGTCACTAGAGAAGCAAGAGCCAGCTTTGCTTAAAGATTTGCAGTGATAGGAAGGAAAGGCACAGAGTGGTGGGGAATAAACACACATGGTGCAAAAAGCGCTACCAGGGCCTTTGCAGGTCTGTAATAGGAGCAAGGGAAAAGGCAGTGGCTGGAACTTTGTGTTCCCAGTGACTGTGCTAGGACAAAGCCAATGGAGAGGACAGGTTAAAAGCCCTTTCCCCTCTTATTTATTTCTTCTCTTCCACTTTCCACCAGCTCAGACCTAAAGCATCAGCAAATGCACTGCTCACTGGAGTGTTCAAAGGCCAAGCAAAGCCATTGGTGACTGCCAGCCCCAAGGAAAGTGGCCAGAAACCACAGAGAATGGTGCTGGCATCCACTCCCGCTGGAGTGGCAGACCCTGTGTGGTTCCACTGCCCCAAGCCCATGGTGCTGTGCTCACTGCTGCAGCCCCACTGTCAGCATACTCCTCCCAGCCCTGTCTGTCCCTGCCTGTCTGCTCTCACAGCAGCACTGCTCTGGCACGGTGGGGAAGCAGGAGGAATGGAGCTGCCAAACACACCTATTGAAATGGCCTCAGGCTGGGTCAGCTCCTTGGAGGCACCCAGTCCTGGCAGCACACTGCAAGCCAGGCAGTGAGAACTGCTTGAGCACACAAGCCCTTCTCTAGCTGCACAATTTGTTCCCAGCCAGTGCTTGTATCCTTATCTGCAAGAAGCAGCTACAACCCTTTCCCCTCCTCTTTCCTGTCTAAAATCCAAAGGCAGCTCTCATGTAGAAGAGGTGGCAGGCTGTCTCCACTACCTTTACCTCCTCTACATCTGACAAACCAGTGCTGCATTTAAAACATCCATCCAGGCTGGTAGGTGTGCTAGCATGGCTATTTTTGACAAATGCCTTCAGATTCCTGCCTTCAAGGGCCATAAGAGGAATGAAAGACAATTCCTACTTTTATTATTACAGTTTAATACATTTTTTGATACAGGAGAAGCAGCAGGAGCCAACATGCAAAGCAACTGAAGTTACTGGGGGCTTGAGAAAGATCACCAACAGCTCAACTAATGTAACTGCTCTTTCACAGCAGCGATGCAGATGCATCTCTAGGAGCCTTTTTTCCTACAAACTGCTGCCCAATCATTCCCCATAGTGCGAGGAGTTGATCTCAGATATGAACCAACACACAACAGTTAGGAGGAGAGGGCTGGTCTTTGATTTTGCTTTTTGAGGAGTCAAGTCCATTGTTTGACTAGAGTCTAGTATACTTTGAAACCAGGAGGCCACAGTAAATCTTGTCTCTGCTCAGAGTCTACAAAGAGATCCTTCAGGAAAAGGCAAGGGCTTTGACAGCAAGTCAGGAGACAGAGCTCAGCTGTTTGGCTACAGTTTACCAGTTTCACAAAGCTGTGACCTCTTGTAGTCAACAGATCTTTTCAATGCATGTGATGGATGTTTAGGCTAAAGATTTCCAACAGCGTAAGAGAAATCTTTGCAAACAAGTAGAAATGGATGTCCCCGTGAAGAAAAAGGTGCAGCAGGCCTGGCTGGCCCTTGCAGACAGCAGAACAAAACCCCACCTGACACCCTCACAGCAGTTTGTCTGCAGAGACATTATGTCCTCCTGCACCTCTTCCTCTGGCAGGCTTCTGCATCTGAGCCACAGGAGCTGTCTGAATCACTTCCCGATGAGGAAGAAGAAGAGGAAGGCTTCGACGTGCTACAGTGCATGCTCAAGACCCACCCCAGTTTGTTGTGTAGCACTTGCTTGAGTCCTGGTGGCAATGGCAGCACCTCCAGCGTGTCCACATAGTCAGGCAGGAGCTGGCGCAGCCGGTAACAGCAGAGGTACTGGAGGGAGGTGCAGCTGGCACAGGAGCGGATCACTTTCATGCTGCTCTTGGCTGCCGTCGAGCACACCATGGGGTAAAACTTCTTGTTCTGCAGTTTTGTGGCTGCAACCCCTGCCAGGGGACAGCATCAAGGAGGGTCACATTAGTTCTGACAAGCTAATGTTGTGGTTTAGGCAGTTGTTTTATAACCCAATGGCTCCACCCCACCCAGGGAGGGGAATTGGGAAAACGAGAGGAGACTCATGGGTTGCAATAGAAACAGATTTAATAAAATAAGAAACAACTAATATTAATACAAAATACACAAAGTAATACTCAGCCCATATATAGTGGTCATGATGGTGACAATGAGCAGAGGATTACACCTTGAGAGTAGAACAATGGGCAAGACCTTCAAGGGATGATGACCATCAAGGAAAGAGAGGGCCATCTCCAGCAAACTCCCCAGTGTTAAGCGAGTGTGACTTTTATGGTATGGAATGATGCTGTTGGCCAGCTTGGATCTGCTTCCTGGCTTTTGCGTCCCCCAGCATCTGACTAACTTGAAACTGCTAAAGACCTTGATCATTGCATACAAGTGCCTGTTGAAAACTAAAACAAAGTGTCTTCTCAACTTTGTTTTCTACCAAATCAAGTGCTGTAGTCTTAGCGGAAATGCAGCTTTCCTGAATAGAAAACCCCGATTCTATCCAGTGAAACCAGGACACTGATCTCACTCTTCCCAGCTATCCTGAACTTGATAACTACAGAACTGTTGGAAAACAGCCTTTTAAAAGCCAAATCTATTAAACAATAAATGTAACCTTCCTCCCACTCACTTCACACCTTAGTCTTCTCTTTTGCCAGTGTTTTCTCCTGCAGCCAGACTCTGCATTCAGCTAAAGCTGTGCTGCTCCCCAGTCCCTCTGCCTGCAGGCCACTGCAGCTGCGCTTGCTCTTACCTATGCACTTGCGGTTTTTGAAGAACGTGAGAGTCCCATGCCACGTGTCCAAATGCACCCCGATGATGGAGCCTTGACCAAACCTTGACGAAAAGTTTGTTTTGTCTCCCTTATGATGCAGTAGTCCTTAAAACACAAAAACTGGCATTCAGTGGAAAGCCTGCGCTCTCCAAATTCATCCCAACACCTGTGCTGTGAGTTCCCACTGGTACAGCCGCACTCAGTGCCTAAGAAATTCCCTCCATGCCTGATCCGTGCCCTCCCACCCCAGAGTGGGCAATGAACAGGGGAAGGCTGAGGTTTGGCAATACCAGAGCACAAGCTGCGGCACTGAAACCCCCATTCTCTGATGGGCAACCAGGAGTCCAGGTGCCCTGGAGGTTCACGCACCCATTCTAAGGGGTCTGCAGAACACAGACAAGGCGAGGTGCTCCAAGAGCTGCAAGCTGCAGGCAGTCACTCCAGTTGTCATTAATGAAGAGACTCACAGGCCTGGTGGCCTTTTTGGCCTTAATCCCATTCAGACCATTTAATTCTCAACCCTTTCAGGCAACACTTGTGCCCGTGGCTGCCCTTCCAGCCATCCTGCCTACTGCCACTAGCCTGCCTGCATTACCTGTGTAGGAGAGTCCCCAGCTGTCCTCATCCTTGCCCAGGAGGCTGCAGAAGGTGTGGCGGTACTTGTCCAGATTCACATCTGATGTCCCAATTCCCACCATCTGGGAGGCAAAGCAAGGAAGAACACCACAAGCTTAGCATCTTTTTGAGGAACAAAACAAACAGACTCCACCTCTAGCTCTCCCATCCTTTTATTGGCACAATTCAAAACAACCATAGGTTTTGGTGAAGCCAAGTCAGTGGTTTAAGGCTGGAGTTGAAGGCTTCCAACTCCAATTTCCTTTCCTAAGTGAGAAGGCCCAGCTGAACTGCTGGAGGAGCTTGCTGTCCTGTTCACAGAATGGTTAGGGTTGGAAGGGACCTTAAAGATCATCTGATCCAACCCCCCCCCGCCACGGGTGGAGACACCTCCCACTAGACCATAATGCTCAAAGCCTCATCCAGCCTGGCCTTGAACACTTGCAGGGAAGTGGCATCCACAGCATCTCTTGGCAACCTGTTCCAGTATCTTACCACTCTCATAGTGAAGAATTTCTTCCTAATGTCTAATCTAAACCTACCCTCTCTCAGTCTGAAACCATTAACCTTCATCCTATCATTACACTGCCTGATAAGAGTCTCTCTCTCCACCTTTCCTGTAGGCCTCTTTTAAGTACTGGAAGGCCACTATAAGGTCTCCGCAGAGCCTTCTCTTCTCCAGGCTTGAACAACCCCAGCTCTCTCTCAGCCTGTCCCTATAGCAGAGGTGCTCCATTCCTCTGATCATCTTCATGGCCTCCTCTGGACTCTTTCCAACAGGTTCTTGTGTTTCCTATACTGAGAACCCCACAGCTGGATGCAGTATTGCAGACAGGGTCTCACCTGACCCACATGCAAGACCTTGGCCTTGTTGAACTTCATGAGGTTGGCAAGGGCCTGCCTGTTCAGGTCTCTCTGGATGACATCACTTCCCTCCAGGGTGTTGACCACACCACATAGCTTGGTGTTATCTGCAAACTTGCTGAGGGTGTACTTGATCCCACTGTCCATGTCCCTGACAAATATGTTGAATAATACTGGTCCCAGTACCGACTCTGGAGGAACACCACTCATCACTGGTCTCCACCCAGAAATCAAGCCATTGGCCTCAACTATTTGAGTGCAACCATCCAGCCAATTCCTTATCCACCAAATGGTCCATCTTTTTAAATCCATGTCTCTCCAATTTAGAGACAGGGATGTCATGTGGGACAGTATCACGTGCTTTGCACAAGCCCAGGTAGATGACATCAGTTGCTCTTCCCTTATCCACCAAAGCTGTAACCCCATCATAGAAGGCCACCAAATTTGTCAGGCATGATTTGCCCTTAGTGAAGCCATGTTGGCTGTCACAAATCATTTCCTTATTTTCCACGTGCCTCAGCATAGTTTCCAGGAGGATGTACTCCATGATCTTGTCAGGCACAGAGGCAAGACTGACTGGCCTGTAGTTCCCCAGGTCTTTCTTTTTGTCCTTTTAAAAAATGGAGGTTATCTTACCCCTTTTCCAGTCAGTGGGAACTTCACCAGACTGCCACTTTGCAAATGTGATCAATAGTGTCTTAGCAGCTTCATCCAGCAGTTCCCTCAGCACCCATGGCTGCATCTCATTAGGTCTCATGGATTTGTACACCTTCAGGTTCCTCAGATGGTCTTGAACCTGATCTCCTACAGTGGGGAGCTCTTCATTCCCCCAGTCCCTGTTCAAAGTACAGTGGACATTTCTGAATGCCTGGAAGTGACTCTGCCCCACGTACCATGTCTGTGCCGTAGACTGGGGAGGTCATCTTGATCTCCCAGAAGTGCTGCCCATCTGCCAGCTCTTTGTTGCCCCGGATGGCGGCAGTGCCGCAGCTGTACTCCATGTGGAAGTTCACCTTGCGGTTGTCGCAGGTCAGCAGGGTGGCCGTTGACTTATTCAGGTCATCCCACACCCAGTCAAAATCTGTTCAGGAAGCACAAAGGGGATACAGATGGGCAAAGACACTCAAGGAGCCATTCTCAAGCCAAAGCACAGGCAGACATTTGTTTTGAAGGCCTGTTGGGGTTCATTTATATTTTTCATGGGTTAAGAGGGTAAATCCTAAGCTGTGCACATCAGGGTGGTTTGAGGCCTCAATTATTCTGCTGTGTCCCACAGGGGATGGTTCACCGCTCTGAACCTGAAGCCGTCAGGATTAACTAGTTTCCATTTTGGCTAACATAAGGCTCCACAGACCCAGACGAAGCCTCCTTTCTTCCTAGTCTTCTCCTCAGCTCAAGGGTTAGCACTGCTATGCCACAGCCTTTCTTGGCCAGCCCAAGGCCCCAGCTCCTAAGCATGCCCTGCCGCACAGCTGGGCGCTCTGCCAGCCATACCAGGGATCAGCAGCAAAAGGGCTAGAACCTGAAGGCCAGTTTCACTTGTGGCCTCGGCCGGATTTAAAAGCAGGTCCCCAGAGGTGAACTCTGTTGCGTTAACAACTTCAGCACTCAGTCCCTGAAACATCACAGGAGGCACGTGCTTATAATCTTCCTACAGTCTACATGGCCTTGAGATGTAAACAAAGGAGCACCGCGCGCTGGGACAGAGATAAGAGCCCCCATGGAAAGCAAAGGATCCGTGCAGAGGCGCAGTCCATGCCGCCAGGCTAGGACTGAACCCACTTCAAACCCCAAAGGACTATGGTGGGCCATTGGGGAGCCCCTTCCTTACACTCATCCTCCTCGCCACACTGGCAGTCCTTGACACGGTGGAGGGCGTGCAGGCTGGAGCAGTAAGGCGCTTCGCTCTGGTTCTCGCAGTTGCAGTAGGACTCTCCAGTCACAGGGATGGCACTCGGGATGGAAGGTGAGAGAGAGGAAAACTCGGGCTCTGAATCCGAGTCACTGTGCTGCCGGGAAGAGCAGAGGAATGGTCACTACCGAACGCCCCCAGGCTCAGGGAGCTGGGCTAGCAGAGGTCTGCAAGGCCTGGTGTGCCACAAAGCCATGCGGGGATATCCCCAGGCTCACACCGGTAGCAGCATGGCTGCATCATGTCTCGGCCTGGCGAGGTGAGGCGCTAGGCCAGTCAAATTACTCTGCTTTGGAGCCTGGCTAGCATCTTAGTTGAGGTGATCCTGCTCAGGCAGGGGGATTGGACTGGATGATCTTTTGAGGTCCCTTCCAACTTCTAATATTCTGTGATTCTGTGATCTGTCTGAACTGCAGAGACCTCTCAGCATGGGGCACTGTACAATGGGGCTATGTTCTGTGTGCCTTCCAGGGGCAAGGAGCTGTCACAGCAGGCAAGCAGCATTGACAGTCCGAGTCTTTAACACATAATTTTAAGCAAGCTCTGTGCTAAAGCTACAGTTAGATTATAGCTAGCTGGAGACCTCGGCCAAGGCATCACAAAACAAGAGCACACTGCTGAAAAATCACTGCTCTAGAGAGCCTGGGAGCTGACACAGACAAGAAGGTGGCAAACAAGAGGAGGACAAAGGGGAACCAGTTCAGCAGTGTGGCTGCAACTCCTCACCCCAGTGCTGCAGACAGGCCCACAGGGAACAGAAGGATTAAAAGGTTTTTGTTTACTTTCATGCAAATATATATATTAAATACTTTTACTCTTGATTTACTATTCCCCAGTGCCAAGAGATGAAAATGTCCCTGCACTGGATGTTGTCAGAATCAAAGCCCCGTCTCGCTCCCTATGTTATGGGAGGCTCAGTGTCATCTATTGGACTCTCTTACCACAGGTCGCAGCGAGTTACTCTGGGTTTACACACTGGTCAGGTGTATCTGCTTGTTATTCACCCTCATGGCATACTTTGTAAGCAGTATTTAAAGATAAAAATCCTTTAAACTCATGTTCTTGTAGGTGTGTGAGACAGTGGGATGTGAAATGACTTGGGCTTGCTTGTGTACTGCCCACCCTCCCTCTCCAGCCTGCACAGGAAAAAAGCTTTATTTCTGTCTTTTGTTAGCCCTTCCCCCATCAACTGGACTAGAACCTGCTCCAGAACAAAGAAACAGTCATGAAACAACCAGCAGCCCTAAACCAACATGAACTAGAGATAGACCATGGTCCTGAACCAAGAAGACAGCTAAACCATTATGCTGATCCAGAACCAACAACTGAGCTAGAATCTGCTCTAGAACCTGCTCTGGAACCAGCAAAAGAGCTAGAACTGGAACAGGCTGTCTAGGGAAGTGGTGGAGTCACCATCCCTGGAGGCATTTAAAAGATGGGTAGATGAGGTGCTTAGAGACATTGTTTAGTGGACTTAGCAGTGTCAGGTTTAAGGCTGGACTCTATCTCCAGCCATTCCTGTTATTGCAGAAACACAAAGCTCTGACTGCAGAGAAAAGGCTCATTTTCTGGGAGAACAGTGCCTGGGTTTGGACACCATGCCCTGGCAGTGGCCTTGTAAAGTTTTAGCCTAGCTTTGAAGCTCCAGGAGCAGTTCCCTGCATCCTCACCACTGTACAAGGAGCTGAACTCACACACTTAAGAACTGGGGAAAAGGGTGAAGGATGGTGGATGTGAATCTAAGTCACTCCTCACACGGTTTGACTGCTCTTCCCATCTTCCAGCACACCTGGATTCAGAAGTGATGTGCACATTGTAAGACATGAGAAAATTTCAGCTTGAAGATATCTGAGCCTGTAACTTCACAGACTGAAGCAGCCCCACTCCCTCCACCACCATCTTCCAGCCCCACAAAGACCAGAAGTTAAACCACAGCCATATAGAGAGCAAGATCACACACAGAACATTAGGAGTTGGAAGGGACCTCGAAAGATCATCCAGTCCAACCCCCCTGCCAGAGCAGGATCACCTAGACCAGGTCACACAGAAATGCATCCAGGCGGGTCTTGAATGTCTCCAGAGAGGGAGACTCCACCAGTTTAAACACATCTTTAGATCCCTACTTAAAAAAGAATATTTTTAAAAAATATTGTATGTACTTTATGTACAACACACACACTTTTTAAGTTTTTTTTAAAAAGTATTTAGTTTAATATCAGCTCCCTGGCTCAGCTAATGACAAGGCACAGAGCTGGGGAGCAGACTACGGGCAGCTCAGCCTTCCCTGCCTTGGGAAGATGTGCTGGTAGCACCACACCCCACATCAGAGGTTGGAGAAGCCTCACTAGACAACCTGTATATTTTAAGTCTTTTCTGATTTTGGCCAGTTTTCCCTTATGTCACTTCAGAGCCACCTGAGCACAGCCTACCTGCCCGTCGGAGTCATAGCCCCAGCCACGTGTGCTGGTGGCCAAGGCAACCGCCCTGGTGTCCGCCTCACGCCGCACCCCACTCAGGACGAAGTGCCAGGCCCTGCTGCTCCGTGTGCGGCGTGCCATGCTGTTCTGAGAGAGGTAAGCTGTGGGGCACAAGGGAGAGGAGGTTACAACCGGCAGCCATGTCCCGCTTCCCCCCACCATTCACCAGGCTCTGCCCTCTGAAGCAACCTCCCCCAGGTGACCACAGCTCCCCCAGGAACGGGTCAGCATGAACCAAAAACCATCAACGGACAAACTCACACAAAAGAAGTGCCTCTTGCATCATGAGCCTCTGCAAACTTCAACCTCTCTCTCCATGCTGGGTCAACAATTCCCTGAGCCCAGGTACTGAACTGGTCCTGAAAAAACTCCCAAGACCCAGCAGCAACAGCAGCTGCCCCCTCCAAAGCACACAGATCCAGCATCCACTTCTGACCACTGGCCTGGGAAGCATCAAGATCGTAACCCACCAAGGTACAGTCACTCTTCACCAGCTGCCTGGGCTCTGGCCATGCTGCTTGGCCACCTGCACTGCTCTGTGCAGCTGAGCTGTGTGTGTCTGTCTGTGGGAAAGGCTGTTTGTCCACTTAGGACCAACTGCCACTGATAGAAGACTTTGCTCTCAGCGTTTGGGGTGGGGGAGAGACCACTTGCCTGCCCGCTAAAAAGGAACCAGCCTTTTCACAGACTTGTCCTGACTTGCATCACGGCTGGACAGAAGCAAAGCAGCTACTTCTATGCCTCAACTCAAGTGGAGACAATATTCAGAGACAGATTTCCATGGGCTCCTTCCCTGCATACAGCCCACCAGCTCCTAGCCATCATGCAGGAGCGTTGCACTGGATGTGACAGAGGAACCTCGACGCCCAATCTCAATTTCCCGTAAAGTTTATCTTTGCATAAAAGAACTCCTAACCATGAGGCACCTGCAGGGCTGTAATCCTCCTCCCATCCCTTGAACCCACTCCCTCTGCTCAGCCTCTCCAGCCACCTCCCTGCCACACACAGCCTGTCTGCACACCCACACCCACTCCTGTGTGTGCCCGAGGCTCAGGTCAGCCCTGAGCATATGTGAACTCTGCAAACATGCGGGGCATCAGCTCCATCCCGGTGCTCACCATTCGGCACCCATCCCCACTCCTCCTGCACCCCAGTCCCTGATGGGCTGGCAGCTCCTAGAAAAGCAGGCCAGGCCAAGCCCAGACCAGCAGTGCAGATGCTCACGGCTGCTCTGAAGGGCTCTGGGCATCCCAGCCACCAGGATCAGGGTGCTTTCATCTCTGCCAGGTCGGGAAAGCACCTAAAACCACAACGGAGCCCCTCATCTCCGGTGTGGAAGAGCACCCACAGCAGCACGGCACCCACCGGCCCGGCTGCAGCTC